GTTTCCTGCGGGTAATGTTTAGCTCTACTATTACAGCGCTCAGCGCCCGCTGACGTTTTAACAATAGGAGACTCCCTTGGTAAAAATGTGCCCGAAGCCGTTCGGCAACACAAAGAGCACCCATTGTAACAACCAAAACGGGATTGTCTTGGTCCGAGAGAAAGGAAAAAGACCTCGTATGTATGCGTTCAATCAAATGAACCTTCACTCGTTCTGGATAGCGACAAACCAAACCTCAGAGTAACGTATAGCCCAAATTATTGAGAACCAAGTCGATCCAAAAATAATCTACGGTACTATTTTTACATTAATCGCGATTACATAAGGCAGTCATACCTCTGATAGTGAGCCTGATCCACTATCCAGCCAAAATGTTACAAATATTCACAGAAAATATCTGCGGTAATAAAAAGTAAATAGGAAATGAGTGATTGGAATTATCTTTCGGATATTTCTGGACCAATAGGAAAATTCTGCACACTTCAACAGATCAAGCAAAATAACCTTGAGCGTTACACCCAAAAGGGGTTCAATATAACCGAAAGCAACGGTTAGTCCAACAAAGAGCGTCCAAACAAAACTTTGGTCGTAATAAAACAAGAAAAGCACTGAATCTCGTTTACATATAAGAACAAAGCACTGGAAGTGTGTCCAGTAGATATGCTTCACCATAAAAGGGTTCAGAATAGAAAATTCATCGACAGGAAAACCACTATCAGAAAGAATGCACGATAGAATGGAGAAGAAAAATAAGGAAATGCAAGGTTACTGAGAGGAAGTTTCAGTCCCTTTGAGTGTTACACCCTCTTTACGTTTAAGACAGAGGCGATCGTTTGTGTCTACACAAACTGACAGAGCCTAATCAATAACATCCCGGAGCTGAGGCTGTTGACCGAACGGACCTCCGTGGAACTGATTGCAATAACAGAGACCTGGTTGCCTGAAGACATACTGGACTCCGACTTTGCAACTTCCGGAATGCATATTTGCATGAAGGACAGGTGCAAAGGTAAATGTGGGGGAATCATACTTTACTTCGCTCACTGCCTTCAATCAGAACTGGTGACTAACTCAACCCTGAATGTCTGTGGGTCTCCATCAAAACTGAGGGTCCATAAGCAAATTGAGTGGGGTTGTGTGTCGACCTCCAAGCGCTAGTGTAACCGGAGATAACCAGATATTAGCTTGCATAGGAGGGTCCGCAGATTAATCTTCAGGAACTTCAACCTCCCCTCAACCTCGACTGACTTTGCGAGTCACAACCCAAGGCCCTGCGGAATCCATGCAGGTCCGTTTCTTGGAGTTGTGTTTCGAACTGGGGCTGGAAGAGCACGTAAAAGGACCTACCAGGTTGAGTCACGAGGGCACACCATCCAGACTGGACTGTGTTGTCCAACGACTCTTACCTGGTTGACAACTTACTGGTGCCTGCCCCTTTGGGAAAGAGCGATCACGGTACCATAGGCTTTGAGTTCTTGATCAGAACCACTAGGAACATAAGCGAACAACTCCTAAGTCGAAACTTCTATAAGGTAGACCACCTGGCGCTCAACGGACACTTGGCAGAGGCAAACTGGTCGGGGGACAGACAAGTAGCGACACCTGACGACCTCCGGTTAGAGCTGGCGATGGGCTCTGCAGTTCCCATAAGAAGCGTAAGGGTGC